GTTGATATATAATCTACCTATTTCTTTTGTCAATCAACTAAAATTGTATCTACAGAGCTTAAGACTTGGGGGGTTTGCTGAACACCTCATATTAGTTAAACTATATGCTTTATTGCTTTTGACGCTTCAGTAATGATGATGAATTAATCAAATTACTAACAGTAAAAATAATAAGTAACAAAGATGTATTTACATTATTACCTACTTAGGATTTACACGATTATATGATTTGAAGACAGATCCTTCGCTAATTTCCCACCCTGATCCGGTACTAGACAGCTCATATCTTGTTGTGTAGATGTTTACGTTGGAGGCATTGTTCTTGGACGATGAACATCAGTCAGGTGAGTAGACTCCTCAAGGGTTGCTTTTACCACAGCACGTTGCCCATCTAGTGAAAGAGTGACCCTGTCGATAGTTAGGTTCAATAGATTATATTCATAGACCTAACCAAGCTGTGTAATTTCAGCTACGCGATCAGTCCATATCTTCAGCATCTGACCATGTAAGACCTGTGTTTCCTAAAAAATTAGAGTTTGGAAATAAAGAGTGCCACTTACTTTCTTTAAAAACAAGAAAATAAGATTTTTTATATCACCATTCTCCTTTTCAATGGTCAACCTCAAAAAGAATTGTTAGAAAGAACTTATATAAAATAAATTATGTTCCGGATAATGTTGTAAAACAGACAATGAAGTTCTACAAAATGAGTTACTAATTGTTTTGGATATCTTCAAAGACTTTATAACTACTAAAGTATAATAAAAGTTACAAATTTTAAGTTAAACACAATATTCTAAAGCAACTAACCTAACACAAAATAAATAGAAAAAAGATAACATTCCACAAAAATAAACTCGTAGACAAAGAATTACAAATACTGATTTTAATTTCATAATTCATAACGATTAAATTGACTTTTGGCAGATTTAAAATAAAGGTAACTTAACTACTTGATTACTGAAAACTAAAAGAGAATCTAGGAATTGATAAAAGTCTTTAAATTTGTAAAATCAAATATTAATTTAGAAATTGAAATTAAACAAGCTGTAAGTTTGGCAGTAGTATAAAAATGAAGTAAAGAAAACAAAAAGCATTAAATCTATTTACGTGAACAAATAATAGAGATGAATCCATAAGAGAAAGAAAAACTAACCAGTAAACCCGTTTTCAAGGCTGAATTGCTTTTAAATTCTTAAAAACTAACCAAAGTTGTAATTTTTGGATGAAGAAAAACCTAAACTAAAGCTGTGACCCAAAACAAATCTTGCACTCTATTTTGGAAATTATGCTGAAATTTGAAAGATATAGTTTGAAAATTAGAAAAGCACTAATGGTAGCTTTCTCCTAAAAACCTCAATTTCCTAATTTAAATCAGATTCAACCACTAAATAAATCATCTCCTTATCTGTCATATAAGTTCAACCCACCATGAACTCCGTCTAGGCTATAAATTTTCAAGCTGGCCCAAACAAGCCCAGCTTACTGACTCTCCTTAAGTGGATATAATAGTTGAGTTTCAACTTGACACGTGATCTCATTTCATTAGTTTGTTTTTAGGTGTAAACAATCTAAAAGTTAATTTGTGAATGTGAAACTTAGATGATAAATAAAAAAAAAACCCCTTGATGCTGCAGTGGGCCCTCAAAATTAAACATATTATTCGCTCCAACAGAAATAAGCTAGTGTCAAGTTTAAGATGCTGTTCTCAAAGACAAAACCATGCAGAAATGCATCTTCAAATGGGGTGTGAAAAGCACAAACGAACTATTTCCTACCTTTGGCAATTTATCAACACGATGATCAAGTCCAAACGCCAAGGATTTAATGTTCTGTCACTTGTGAATTATACCTTCTGCAAACCTTGCATCCAACTTGGGTAATTCCTCCTCAAGAGTTTTCAACTGACCATGTACAGATGAACTGTAATAAGGCCTAGAAAAAAAAAATGACTATTTTTTTGTGGGAGGTGTGGGGTGAAGAGCACAGGAGAATATTCTAAATAGCATCATTCAACACGGTTCTAAAAAAGGATCTGCATTTTAAGGGACACAGCCTATACTACGCGGAGGATGCAACATTTATTATCACTCAAATCATACCTACATTGATAATGACATCAGATGTGATAGCCGTGTTTTAAAATAGATCGACGAAAGTCTCTCACCAATCCGTTGTAGTCTAGTTGGTTAGGATATTCGGCTCTCACCCGAAAGACCCGGGTTCAAGTCCCGGCAACGGAACTGTATTGTATTTTTTGGCGGGTTGTGGGGGAAGTTGGGCCTTTTATATTCATTTTCACAATGAGCCTGGCAGCGCCACACAAATTTTTGCATCGATGGGTCACTCTAAACTCGTCAAAATGTTTTGGTAAGTCAATTTTTCACAATTGAATTATGGTTTCAGAACCTGGCCAAATAAAAACTCAAACTATGTCTTCAGGGGCAATGTTAAAAGTACTGAACAGTCAACAAGAAACATAGAGAGCAAAAGGTTATTGATTTTTCCCTTGTTTTAATGACATTCCAAGGCAACATACATGTATGTGTTATGAAGAACATATGCAAAGAATGTTTAATCAATTCAGAAAACCCCTGTGATTCTAGATTATACAGAGCTTGGAGAGAGAAATTACAACATCCACTTCTCTACACTGACTGCAGGCCTTCGGGTAAGGATTCATTATCAGGGTTTGGTGATAGAAATCTCCGGCACGCATGGAACATGGCTGAATGGAATCCATTGGGGTTTTCCATGAACACAAAATGCCCACCCTGCAAATACAGAAAGATAAGGAGCCTAGAAGAGAAGGTGGTTTTGGAATCTCGATTTGATTTTGAAGGGCAATAAAGTCCATTTTCAAGGTATTAAAAACAGAGATTTCCATGAGGCTGTTTCACCTTCGTAAGTTTTAAGGTTTATTCTTATTGAAAGAGGAAAACAGACCTGAGGAACCCTGATGATTTCACATGGGACCTTCATTTGCTTGCGTGCTTCTTGGGCCCCTTGATAGTTCATCCAATCGTCAATACCATAAATAAAGGTAGTTGGTACTTTCCATTCTGATGCACTGTTGCAAAAAAGGAGAGACTCGATGTTAATAATTCACCTCTGTTTTTAGCATCTAGATTCAACAATGTCAATACAAAAAAATGAATGATGTAAATATCAAAAAAAAAAAAAAAAAAAAAAAGGAAGATGAAGAAGAAGAAGAAGAAGAAAAAGTATGACAGGGAGTCTGTTGCCTTCCAAACAAGTTAATTCTTTTCTCAAAAGAGTGGGTTGTCACTTATCACAGAGGATCCGTACTGTATCCTAATGTGTAGTTCCCAAACTTTCTATCTCAAATCAGATATTTGAGATTTTAAACATGTTCTAGGAGGAGCTAGTTCTTAATTATTCAACTTTTTACTGGCTTCTTCCTTGTTAATATGCACACACTTTTATAGTGCCGTATGGAGATCCATGACCTGCATTCTAAAAAAGCTTTTTAGTGGATGGTAGAGATTGTGCACAAAATGTTGGAAGGCTTGAATTGCGAAAGTCCAGAAATGCTAGCCAGAAACCATGCCCACAAGTGAAGCAACTGATACTTTGTAAACCATTCTATTGAACATGTAAACAAATTAGATTAAGCAGGATAATCAAACCTTTTTAGAAGGGGCATTCGAGCAAATGCTCCAAAAGAGAATATGTATTTCAAACAGAGTTCTCCACTTGCTTTGGCAGCTAAAGTATGGTACACATAATCTTCAACCAGAGAAAACAGGCATTAGAATTTAGAAATTTCTGACGCTCAGTTATACACAACATACTAAAAACCTTGCAATACCTGTCAGCAATTGAGACTCCTCTTCATTCAATACATCCCCAGATGAATATAAACCAAATCTAGCAGTTGTGTACTTCCTTACAAGATCTGGACCCCAAGGGCCTAAACCCCTGCACCAAGAGTCATCCGAAAACAGGTGAAGATATTCATCAGAAAGTCTTCCAGCTCCAGAAAAATAAAATTAGATTTCCATAATATCTAATTTACAATAGAGCAAATTAATCTGATTTTGCAGCTAGCTTTTTGGGGCCATTGACTTGGCAGAACTGAGACAATAGACACAGAATGAGAGAAAAAGAATAAAGAGAATAACTACTATATAAACAGAGAGATTAATCACGCTTTTATTTAAATGTAGATTTGAAGAACATTTCAACAACAGAAAATAGGAAGGGATAATATGTTTACCTTACAAGCCTCTGAGGAGTGAAGTTAGACTCCCACAGATGATTCAGAATTGCTCCTTTCCATGTTGCTCTAAAGCGTGCTAACTTCTCAGATATAGGATCAGATTCTGGTGAAAATCCAGCCGGTCCCACCAAAATCAAGTGTTGAACGTGCTCAGGATGCTATAATAAAAAAAGGGGCAATTAGAACAGAATGGTGGCATGAGATTGCTGCTAATGTTCAATCATTGAACATTCAAATGCTATTACCTTCAGAGCATATTTAGCTGCAACATATCCTCCAAGAGAATGCCCAAGTAGTATAAAATTACTTAGATTTTTTGCTTTACGCCATTCCTCAAATGAATCTATAAACCATGCCTCAGTTTCTGCATCATTGACGCAAAACAGATGCAAAACTTTGTAACTGTTATGGCAATGCCTGTACTACAATTATAAAGAGAACACAGCAAAAATAACCAACGTTACCAACCTTCAGTACTTTTACATGTAAAGTCAGGCCTGCTTGATCCTCCCCAACTGAGAAAAAAGGTGGAAAAACATTAGTGCTAAGAAGTTCTATAGAATGATGACATGTCTCTTAGAAATAAAATGCTTTATTAGCAAGCACCGTCTAGGATTTTAACAATGAAAAAGAAGAAATTTTGAATACATGAGAATGACTCTGAGGCAACCACAATGAATATGGAGAGAGAGGTGTTTTTTTTGGGGGCCGCCATACGGAGATTGGTTTTAGGAGTCCAACAATAACATGTAATAATATGTACAATACTGCAGTAAATGCAAAGCTGAATAAAGAACCATATCCAGAAAAGATTATATATACTTCTCACATTCACATCAAAATTCATTACAAATATCATAGGCAGAGGTGGAGAATTAGAATTAGGCTCACTATGAGCCAAGAAAAGACCCTCTTAAGAATTCCATAAGGCCAAAGCTTGGGTACACAAGTGGCAACTGGTATGTTATTTTTATCAGTTAGGAACTCGGGATGAACCCGTTATAGTATGATGCATTTTAGTATGCTAAACATTTAGACATTGGTAAATCAAATAAAATTCGAGAATTTCACAATTAAAAGAAGAAAAAGAAAAAAAAGGAACCATCAAGAATGACAAGTTTGTTTTTTTAACACAAGTCAAATTTACCCGAGCTGATCAATAGCAATAACCCTGAAACGACTGGCTAGAGCATCAAAATTCCTGAAGAAGAAACCTTGAGAAGCAGCATATCCATGAATCATAACAAGAGTTGGTGAACCCTCTTTGCAGTCGAAGGTGACTGTGTTAATGAACCTTGGCTCATTGCTCACAGAACGAAACCACCTGACCTTGGAGCCAGGTGGACCAGAACCAATATTCACTTGCTCCTGAACATACCCAGTCCTGACATTTTAACAATCCACACCACACATCATCAAAATTAATCAAA